TAATAAAAATGTGTAATAAAAATAAATGTTAAAAAAATATATTATTGAACTACTACAGAGTTCCTATATACTCTTCATTTGTTGCTGTTGTTATATGCCGTCAAGTCACCTGCAACTTACAGTGAACCTGTGCACAACAGCTCTGAACCCTGCCCTGTCCCTCCACTTTACCGAGCATGATGTCTTTCTCCAAAGACCAGTCCCTCCAGGCCATGTGCCCAGGATAAATGAGATGGAGCTTCAAAATCTTAGCCTCCAAAACAACTATGAGATATCATCTCATCCCAGTAAGAAGAGCAAAATTTAACAGAACAGCAAACAACAAATGCTGGAAAGATTGTGGAGAAACTGGAAGCCTTACTCTCACTGTTGGTGGGAGTGTAAAATGGTGCAACCACTATGGAAGGCACTATGACACTTTCTCAAAAAGTTGCAAATAGAAATACCATTTAACCCAGCAGTTCCACTACTGGGAATATACCCCAAAAAAACCATAACCACCACCCAAGCAGATATATGCACACCCATGTTTATTGCTGCTTTGTTCACAATAGCAAAGAGTTGGAAACAAGCTGTGGTATATTCACACAATGGAATATTGTGCTGCATTGAAAAACAAGGCAAAAAACAATTATACAAAGTGGGTGACCCTGGAGGACATTATGCTGAGTGAAATATCTCAGTCACAAAAGGACATATACTACATAGTGCTACTGCTGTAAAATGGGACTGACATCGGGGTTGGGAGGAGTCTGAGAAAGATGGTACACATTATGTATACTGCATTGAAACAGATGAGGGAGAGAACTGTTTAAAAGGATATATGATTAGGTACTATTGTCATGACAGGAGTTCAGAATGAAGACTGCATAGTGGAGTGGACTTGTGGGGAGGGATGGTATAACAGTGAAAGAATTTTTATTTTACTTTTCAAATAGAAGAACAAACTGGGGTGGGGGGGAGGTTGAGCAGGGAGAGAAGTGCAACAATGAATTAATGGAAATTCAAAACCTCTATAAACTGTAATTAAAATTAATAAGTTTTTTTAAAAAGCCAAAACAGACCTATTTGTTTTCTTAGCACTCTGTGGTATGTTCAAGACTCTTCTCCAGCACCACAACTCAAAAAGGCATCAATTCTTCTTCTGTTACCCTTAGTAATTGTTCACCTCTCTGTTGCATAGCAAGTAATTGTGAAGACTATGACCACGATCAGGTACACCTTAGTCTCGAGACTGACATCGTTGCTCCTCAGTACTCTGGAGAGGTCCCAGACAGCAGATTTTTTTTTCCCCAGTGTAATTAGTCTTTTGATTTCCTCAGTACTGGTGCCAAGAATGTAACCATAATCCTGTTATAAAAACCAAGACATTTATATTGATAAATGTTATAAACTAATCTACATACCTAAGTCAGATTTTCTAATTATCCTAGTTCTGCCATTTTTCAATCTAGCTCCAATCCAGGATTTCACATTTCTATTTCATTGTAGTCTCCATAGTTTCTTCTAGGCTTTTACAGTTTCTCAGTCCTTTTTTATAATCTTGATGCTTTTCAAGAATACTAGCCAGTAATTTTGTAGAATATGACTCAATTTTAGTTTGTCTGATATTTTATCCTTGAGTTTATATATTTTAACCAAGAACCTCACAGAAGTTATATTACTTGTCAATGGTCCTTAGTCCTTCATTAGTTCTTTGGACTAATTGTTCTTCACTCTTTGTTCTGGACAGGGAGAGACCGACCATCAATGATTTTTGCCTGTTAACAATTACTGTTGTGATCGTTCCCTAATAGAGATTTTCTATTTTTATCTTTCCTTAATATTTATTTATTGGAGTTCTGTGTAAGGAAGAGCTTTTGTTTCTTCTTTTCCCATTTATTTATTATTCAATCATATCATTGTGACTTGTGGATATTCATTTCATCCCATGGACTGTTATTACTATGATTGTTCATTTCTTTGCTCAAATTGCCCCCACATTTGGTATTGAGTACTCCCTTCAAGTTGGCTCCTATGTCCTTCAACCTCTATCTGCTTTTATTATTTCTTTACTTTCTGGCACAGTAGGATGTTCCACACATTAACTATTATTCTCTAAGAGTAAATAGTTCATTTTATTCATTTCCTTGGTTTTTGAAAGCACAGTTCTTACTCAGTGTGGTTTTCTCTTGAAATTTCTCAGTGACTCTCATAACCTGATTAAAATATTATTAGCATTCTGAGATATCCATGCACTAGTTCAGAAAAATCTGTTCATCTTTATAGTTTAAATTCTTCCCTCTTGTATACCCTAACCTTAGAAAAACTAGAATAAATTCATCACTTTATCCTAGCCAGTTAGGATAGACATTTCCCTTTGAATCTGCTTCTGATTCTAAGAATTCCTTTTATTTCCTCTGAAACTTTATGACATATTTTACTTTATAGCATAATTATGTATTCCTTTCTTATATAGGCTTTTGTCATGTTTTCTCATCTCCCCACCTAGTTTGATCATTCTTAGAAGCAGAAACTATATATTACAATCTTGTCCTTTTATCCTATACAGTACATTGCTCACAGGACGTATTCAGTAAACATTTGTTTTTTGAATGTCTGAGGGGAACTGAAGTCAGTAAAAGACCCAGAAACAAATTAATTTTTAAATATGCTAGTTACAACTTAATGCTGGTTATTCCATAACTTACTAGTCTTTTGAGGCTAGTGTCTAGAGACTTTCTAGTGGCTTGATCTTAAACTCTCCTTTCAGTCTAAACTTATAACCTATACTGAAACTTTTGTTGGAATTTAGCCTAGCATAGAGAAGAATTTTACGTCCAGACTGCACAGCAGGCTAATCCTGTCTTTCTGACCACGTGTCTTTGTTTATCTTTCTTCTTAGGTGGATCACTTGGATAAGAATGGACAGTGTGCATTAGTCCATGCTGCACTCCGAGGGCATTTAGAAGTTGTCAAGTTCTTGATTCAGTGTGACTGGACTATGGCTGGCCAGCAACAAGGAGTGTTTAAGAAGAGCCAAGCCATCCAACAGGCCCTCATTGCTGCAGCCAGCATGGGTTTCACGGAGGTGAGAAAGAGGATGGAATTTGAGGGTTTTGGTTTTTTATTTCAAAGTATATATTGAAGACCTAGGAAACCAGCCGAGAAAGGCTATGTCATGATAAAATTGCTAGTCAAATTAATGTAAATTGACTTTTGATAACTGTTTTGAAGGATAGGGAGATCAGAGTCTTAAAGTACTCGACTACTAGAATTGTGGCATAGGACATGAAAATTGGAAGACTTTTATTATTATCTAATCCACTGCTTCACCATATTTCTACCCTCTTTGAAGAGATAATAGAGCCTTGGTGGCATAGTACTTAAAAATCTAGGCTTCCAACCTAAAGGCTCACGGCTCAAGCCCACTATGGAAGTTCTCCATGGGAGAAAATATGACAGTCTACTTCCATAAATATTAATTAGCAGCTTTGGAAAACCTGCAAGGCAGTTCTGCTCTGCCCTATTGGGTCACTTACTATGAATTAGAATCACAGTGAGTTTGCTTTTAAGAGATAATGATAATTAACTGTTGATTTGTGGTCACATGACAGTGTAGCATAAGAGGAACACAGCACATAGAATCTCAGAAGGAACCGGTTTGAGTCCTACCTTCATTTATCAATAGCTCTGGAATTTGCATAAGTTATTTAATTTCTTACAGCCTTTCTTTCCCATCAGTAAAGTGAAACTAATAAATTATTTTGTATATTTTTTAATAAAAGGTGCTTTATAAACTGTAAAACACTATACACATTATTAATTATAGTAATAATGGAGAAAGATATGAAATTGATGATATGGCAGAAAATGTTCAATAACTGGCTTTCCTGAATTGAGGCTTAGGTGTGTAGGGGTATGTGTGCAGGGCTGTGTGCATGGGCCTACTTAAGTTTTCTATAAATTGCTATATGCTTCAGCTTATTGTTTTAAAAATCCCCTCTCCAGGATCTCCTTAAAATGCTGTTTAAAGACTTAAGGTGCTCTTGACATAGGCTGTTGTAATTGCAGTAGCTTTCGCATGCGAAAGTTGGAAAATCAGTAAAGAAATCAGAAGAATCGATGCCTTTGAATTGTGGTGAAAAGGATAGAGCATACCGCATACTACCAAAAAACCAATAAACGTGTCTTGAAGAAAGTGTGTTCAAGGTGATCCCAAGAGGCAAGGATGTTGAAACTTCATCTAACATACTTTGAGCATGTTGTCAGTAGGCACCAGACCTTGGAAAAAGATATCATGCTTGGAAATCTTGAGGGTCAGCAGAAAAGAGAAAAACTCTTCAATGAGATGAATGTATACAGTGACTACAACAGTTATACAGTGAGATTGAGCATGTCAAGATCTAAGGATGGTGCTGGATGCGGCAAGACTTGAAGCTGTTGTTAGTTGGGTTTCTGTGCATCATAATCAACTGATAACAATCTCAATCCAATCACTTAACAACTATAGCAATTTTGTTATAAATTCTGTAAATTATTAATTTACAGATAATAGTTAAACATGCAATATTTCTAATTCTATGTTTGCCAAATTTTATTCATAACCACCCTATGGTTGCAACTCAGAAATGAATTGACAAATGGAGTTACATCCTAATTTGCTAACTTTTCTTAATTTTTTTTTTAATTTTAATGAAAATTTACAGAGACTTTGGATTTCCATTCATTCATTGTTGCTCTTTTTTCTCCCTGCCCAGCCCTCCCCACCCAGTACACTCTTCTCTTTGAAAAGTAAAAGAAAAATTTCCCCCATTGTTTTACAGTCACTTCCCCCAGGTCCTCTCCACTATGCAGCCTTTGTTCTGGACTCCTGTCATGACAATAATATCTAATCACATATCCCTTTTAAACAGTTCTCTCCTCATCTGTTTCAATGCTAATTTGCTAAGTTTTTATAATTAACGTTAAATGTGATGCATAGTTTACTATTAAACCATTTCTCACCCTCATATAAATATTCATTGACTTAAAAATTTTTTCAGCTTCAGCATAAATTCAAATCCTGATTTGTAGTGTATGGTGGTTTCCAGGCTAAGGATAGATCCACAGTAACATACCATTGTATAGTATTCCTCCATACAGATCCAAGTAAGCAAGAATATAGATAGTAGGAGAATGTAGTTAAATTGTTAAGTAATTAGAAACTTAAGGTATTTTAGTCATTGTTTTTAACGTTTTATTTAATCGTTATTTCCTTTTTTAACAATGGTTATGTTTAACACCTGGTCTGTAAAATTCCTGATGATTGAATAATCATGGACCTGTGCAAGCTGCCTTCCGTAGAGTACTGCATGGGAGGCTGCACTGAAACAACTGTCCTTTTGACCAAGGAAAGATCAAGTAAAATGGAAATTATTCATTCCTATAAAAGAAGTTTTCAGTTTCTTTACACTCAACATTCCCAGAAACAGAGCTGTCATTTTCATTTGTTGTTAGTACTCGTTCTCCCTTACTTTTGCCAGCACAGATCCTGTACTTCTGAGACAGGGAAAAGATAATCACTCTGTTCTGAAGAATTGTGTACATTTGGTTCCCCTACATTTCTCTTCTGTGGTCTTTGTATTGAAAGGATATGGGATTACTTTTTAACTTAAATAAGAGATGTATAATTATGTGGAATCACATGCTTTGTAAGTGAATGTTGTTCATGTAAAATCGAGATAAGACAAGTGCTCAGCTTTGGGTTTCCTTGCTCAGTCAGTGCTTTCTTCTGTGTGCAGATGGATCATCCAGGTAGTTTCCAAATCTCACAAGTTGGTGTCAGCACGATATTTTTCCACTTGAAGTTTCAGCTGACACAACTTCTTGTTTCAGATTGTCTCCTACCTGCTTGATCTTCCAGAAAAAGATGAAGAGGAAGTGGAGCGAGCACAGATCAACAGCTTTGACAGTCTCTGGGGAGAGACAGGTACTTCCCATGGGCACAGCTTCTCTCTTTCATGGGCATGTTGTGTTTTGGTGAACTGTGTGTATATTACAGTCTTCTTTTTTCTCTGACATAACTTTGTCAGTCATGTCTATTATAATTTTTATTTGGAGACTGATGCAACCAAACTATAAAGTCAAATAATGCCTTCTTTTCATTTTCTTCTATATTAGATTCTCTATACCATTAACCCTCAAGATTTCTTTTCAAGAAAACTTGTCTTTATTCTTATTTCAAAACTCTTTTGAAATTTTTCTTATAATGTACCACACCAGGACAGAAAATACTTACAGCCTTTCTTTGTTTTTATTTGATCTTTTAACAGTTATTAATATTTCTCCCATAAAAATAATCTTACCACCTGCAGTTATAAATCAGGAGGTTAAAGTTTTGTGTTACTATGTTCAAATGACATCTGATACTGTAAAATAGACATGTAACAAGTAAAGTTGCTGCCTGAGTATGAAATGAGGTATACCAGTCTGCACTCCTAGCTCCTCTCAGTGTACAAACAAGCAATTTCTATATCTCTTAGTATTTACTACACAAATCAAAAACTCTTCCTTGTGACCTTTGAATGAAAATTACTGTGATCTTTCTTCCATATCTAAGCTACAGCATTAATAGCATTTAATGTATTTTTATGAAACTGGAGGGATGAAAATTATAGTCACCACAGATATGTATCTTAGTTCCTTGGAAGAACAGGCCAACATTGAGATGACTGATGTAGAATGTTTTCTTAAACAAGAAGAGTATGTCTTTTGGTTAGGGTCAGAAGGTTATTAAAAATAAGAAAAGACCCTTGAACTCATTTAAAATTTATAATAACCTATTATAATGTTTTGTCTCATAGTTTCATGACTTCTTTAGCATCATGGGGACTGGTCCAGAGCTCAGGAATTTGTTTCTCAAACAATCCCTCCCTCTGTTAGAGCCAAAAGGAGCAGATGCTTGGCAGCTGGAGCTTAAGAGCTTATGACTGATTAAAGGGAAATGTGCAGCTGGAAACAGCTGCAGTCTGTGACCCAACAGAGAAATCAGAGGACAGGCAGGGGTAGGGGTTATTCAGGACATCAGCTGGACTTGGGGCAGGCGCAAGGAAGGTAGAAAATACAAGAATAATAGTAATAGTGATAAACATAAAGCAGATTATAGCACTGTCTAATGTGAGAGGACAAACTTCAAAGAGATAGATTGACATAGGGACTGTAACAGTGGGTTCAAACATGGGAGAGATTGTGAGAATGGCACAGGATAGGACAAGATTCTGAATCTATTGTTTACAGGGTCACTGTGAGTCATAGTTGACCAACAACAACATTGTACATAATACTGCAGTAAACATGAATATGCATGTCTTTTCATGTCATGGCTCTTATTTCTGTAAAATACATACCAAGGAGTAGAATTGCTGGAACATACGCTATTTCTATTTCTAGCTTCTTAAGGAGGTATTGTTTCCCATAATGATTATAACTGTTCTGCATTCCCACCAGCAATTTATGAGAATTCCAGGCTCCTTACAACCTCGCCACCATTTATTGTTTCTTTATTTTTTATTATTGCTTGTGTGGTATATTACCTCATTGTACTGTTTACGCATAGCTGTTGAAGAGAGCTCTGGTGGACTAGTGGTAAGAAACTTCTCTGTCAACCCGAAGACATTTGTTTTAAATCCACCACCTGCTCTTTGGGAGAAAGATGGGCGATTTACTGCCTCTAAAAACTTGCTAGAGTATCAGTTATGGGTCAGTTCCAACTTGGCCATACATAACAATAGCTAATGATGGCAAATACTTCTTCATGTTTTTGTTGCCTTCTTGAATGTTTTCTTTGATGAAGTGTCTCTTTATGTCCCTTGCCCATTTTTTAATCAAACTTTTTTACTTTTTGCTGTTGAGATATTAGCATTTTCTAGAAATTTTCAAGATTAGACTCACTCTTGTCAGCTATGTCATTGATGGGTCTTTCCCCCCAATCTATGAGTTCCTTTTTTATCCACTCTTTTGGAGAAATCTTTTTTTGTTTGTTTGGTTGAGGTTGGGTTGTTTCCCCCCCCCCCTTTTTTTTTTGTTCTTCTTTTTGGAGAAAATCATTTCATAAGCCATAAGCATTTTCTTTTTAGGAGATTCTAGGTATCTATCTTCTATTTATACATTCTTTTTTTTCGTATTTATACATTCTTAATTATGTTTTACTTAGACTATACATTTTTAGATTATGTATAGTCTATTTATGATGCCTTCCCCTTCTTGCGACAATTGTTCAGGTCTTTCGTTCATATGGTTGCTGTGAATCATCTACGACTCAACAGCACTTAACAACAACAACAACCTGAGAGAGCTTGTGGGCCTGGTGGATAGAAAATTATGCTACCAAGTCAAAGGTGGTGGTGGTTGTTATTGTTATGTGCCATTGAGTCACTTGCGACTCATAGCAGCCCTATGTACAACAGCCCTAAACCCTGCTCTGTCATGTGCCAATCTCACTGCCTCTCATACACCCATCCTGATTACCCCAGTCACTGAATCAGTTCATCTCAGAGAAGATCTTCCCCTTCTGCGCTGTCCCTCCACCCTCCCAAGCATGATGTCTCTCTCCAAGAACCTCTCCCTCCTTACAACATGTCCAGAGTATGTCAGAGGAAGCCTCAGAATCCTTGCCTCCAAGGAGCAGCCTGGTTTAACCCTCTCTAGGATGAATCTGTTTGTTTTCTTGGCAGTCGAGGGTACATTCAATACTCTTCTCCAGCACCACAGCTCAAAGGCATCAATTCTCCTTCTGTCCTCCCTAGTTATTGTCCAGCTCTCTGGTGCATAA